TTTCCGATGAATATAATATCGGTTATTTACTTATGTGTTTTCTGCTAAATTTGCTTTTTTTTTCTTGCGCTTTTAAACGTAAGTAATAATGTAAAATAAGCGGATTTAATGCGTGTTTTGTTTGTTGTTCATGAAGAATTTCATGGAATAATGAAATTTGATCATGGAAAAATGAAAAAATTTTTCGAGGATTTTTTTTATGAAAGAATTTTTTTAGAAGCTTTTCATTTTCATATATAAAATTTTTAACGCTTAATTTAACTATTAATGAAAGAAAATTCAATTTAGCGAAAAATTCAATTGTTTTATTTTTAAATTTAGCGTAAATTTTAGAAAAATTCGAGAAAAAAACTTTTTTCCGTTGTTTCTTTAGTTCCATTAGATTTTGAATATAAAAAAAAGGTGTGACTCGCATTGACTGGCTTTATTATGCTTTATGTGCCTCAAAGGGATTAGTTTTCCCAATTAAATTTGACGAAAAAAAAGCCAAAACAATAAAAAAAACTCGAATAAAACGCTTTTTTTTCTTTCTAGCCTATTTCTTTTAGTTCGTAAATTTACTTTAAATTTTAGGCAAATTAGATTTTGATTGTTTCCTAGTAATGTAAAGAAAAAATTGATACCACTCTTGGTATTGAATGGAATTATGATGGTGCAATAATTTTCTGGAAATGAGGAAATGAAGAAAATGAAGAAATTAATAATAATAATAATTGTTGGTAACCTTTATGGAACCAAGAAACCCTGAATATGGAACTGAATATGGTGAAAATGCATGGTACATAATTAAAGATAATGACTGAATGATTCATTATTAAGCAGATCACCTCATTCTTATTTTATAGTAGCAATTCACCATTGTTGGTTTGGCTGATTACTACAATGAGAACCGTTTGGCAAAAGGTAACTTAGACGATGCAAATGCGTCTCCAAAACCCACGAGAGTTTCTTAATGACAGCCTTATTCTTATCGAAGGATTTGAAACAAACCCTCTTAGTGATCTTATTCGAAGGAATATGCATTAAGGAAAAAACATTAAGCATCAAATATTATATATGTAAATACCATTCGTAAATTAGTTGGATTCTTGCAAATGAGATAATTTTTCATTCTCATTTTCTTTATTATGAAATTTTATCGCTCATTTATCGAGATTTTTATTTATTATTAATTTTAGGCATAAAAATATTTTTTTATAATATAACATTAAGTTTTTCCTAAGAATCCTCCCTCACCTTCTCTAGCTTCCACTGTCTTATCGAATCAGGTAAATTCTACTGGGGGAGCACATGGCGATGCGATAGAAATACAAGTAGGTCATCAACAAATAGTTTACTATTGTCGGATTGTAGAATCGAAGAATTAGCTCGGAATTATAAGTGACCACTCACTCACTGAATCGCCATTCTATCCCTCATAGCAGTGGCCATGATTTGAAAATTTATTTTTCTTCCAACATAAAATATAAATATACAAATCGTATGAAGAAAAATTTTAATTGCTTTTTTAGTTACGTCAATCGCCGTTTTGGTTAAAATCGACCATTTTTACTTTGAAACGATTCCAAAACCCACCAAATATATTTCTTTTCTTCATTTGAAAAACCGGAATTACGCTTTTTTTTAAAGCGAAATTTAAGTACAATACCATAATCGCTGCCATTTTCAGCCGAGCTCTTTTTTTTTTAACATATGATAATAAACGGTAACAGTGATAAAATGATCCAGTAGTGTGATAATGATAAGTAAAAATAGCGTCTAAAAGCGTTCATCATTTTTGATTATACTCGATATATTAGTACGATGGAAATGGAATACAATTTGCGAAAGGAGTACAAATAGATTGCCAGCACTACTCAGATGTTTTTCGGCATATTTATTTTAACGGCAACAGAATCTGAGTCACAAAGCTTGTGACAAAACTAATCTGGTTAATAGACATTCTATTATCCTAACTAGTCTATGATTATTATAAGTAGCAATTAATAAAAATATCATGAATTAATTAATGGAGAAATTGCTATGAAAAGAAGTATGAAAGTGGAGGAAATAGGAGGAATAATTTATAGGAATATAGAGGATTCTGCCTTTCTTTTTTTACCAGTGAAAAGGTTTCAAATCCGTAAGGAATTTCCTTTTTATTCTACGAAATAATTGCGATACTGCATTTACTTTTTTTTTATTTATCAAAGATTTTTACCATTTATCGATAAAAATTTGAATTAATTGATAATAAGTGATAAAGAAAATAGCTATTCCTTGTTTCGCGCTATTTTTTTCATATTAACTTTGTAAATTAAGACATCATTTTGAAAAAGAAAAAGATCACATTTTATTTGTTTATTTAATTAAATCTTTTAAGTTTTGTAAGGATTTCCATAAATTTTGCATAGATTAAAATTATCTTTCATCGGCGCTCAGAAAATAAATATTTAAAGAGTAAAACCGACTAGAATAAAAATTATATGAAAATTTCTAACGCGAATCTGGAGGTGGATTATAAGTAGTTTTATCTTATTTCAAATAATTCAATTGCCCAAATTTTTAGTTGTTAAAATTCGAGGCCTTCTTTTTTCTCCATAAAATTTCGATTTTTTTTAAGAAAAATTCTTTTTTTCTAAAAAATGGTCATATTTCTCATAATTTTATGCATAGGACGACATATATTTTCCTCATTTTTTTGGTGAAATAAAATTCAAATAAAATTAATGGAAGAGTTAAATTAATAAAATAGAACCTTCGCTTATATGATTAAATTATCAATTACAATTCGTTTATTATCATAATTTTTCTTTTTTGTAAGAAAATCTATCAAAAAATACCACTAAAATACATATCAAAAAGTTAAAAATTAATTTAATTATTTTATATTATTTTAACTATAAATATTTTAATTATTTTAAATATAAAAAAATTCATTGGAAATCCATATAATCCATTTAAAATCCACTAAAATCCATTTGGTGAATAGAATGACTAAATTTTCGCTAAAGTAAAAAATAGTGATGCTGGAATTCTACTCATGATAGCAGTAAATCTATTTTTTTTTAAAAATCCAGGTTACACCGACGACTAGATTACTTGTGTTACTTGTATTTCTATTGTCTAAGTGTTTCGGTCACAAAATTTGTCTGATCCGATCTGTCTGAAGCCAGTGAGAATGAAACGAGAAAAATGGTGGGCGCTTTTAGAAAAAAAAACGTTGAATAAATCAAAATTTTTATTTTATATAACATTCATAAGTTACTATTTTTTATAAATTTTTATATTGGTGGAAATAATAAGTATATATAAATATAATTTATTTGGGTACAATAAAATTGATTTTAAATTGCCAAATTTTGGATAAAATTTAGGATAATCTGATAACTGTGTTAAATTCTAGGCAAGAACATCTATAAATTTATCTTAAATTATTGCCAAATTGAAAAAAGATGAATTAAATTGTTCAAATGAGGTTTTTTATTCTTATTTTATTCAGATTATTTTTTCATAGTACCACATAATATTATAATATTGAATGGTAATATTTTAATGAAAATGGTACCATTCTAGTAATTGCTTGTTTAATATAACTTAAGGCGATTATTGGAACAAAAAAAATATGAAATATTCTTAAATTCTTTATTTCTTCCAATACGATTCTTTGTTCTCGTCCCTTTGAATAGCAAAACAAAATGCTCGACTAAATGATGAGTTGCTTTTATTGACATCAAAATGTCCATAAGTTCAATTCTCGTTTATTAATAGCATTAAATATTATTAAATGTATCATAAAATCTCGGAGATCCACCTGTTCTTTTATCTTCAAGTGACTTTATGAGTTTTAAAGAGTTTTATCGAAATAATCAGCCAAATTGACCAAACTGCCATTATCATTGCTAGAAGAACACGACGGTGCTTCTAAATGAATCAGTAAAGCTACTACAAATACAAGAAAAACTAATAAAATAGGTAAAGTTGAGGCAATATTTTAATTATTTTAATTTAATTTAATTTTAATTATATTGATTTAAATGCATTTATTAAATTGAAACTTCTTTATAATCTATTTATTCATTAATATATGACATACTTTAAAGATACACTTCTTCAATCTTCTTCTTCTAAACAGCAAATGTGTATTGCTTTCTGGTTCGATTGGTCCCATCGATTCCCAACATGAGATATTTTCTTCAGCCTAAGGTGCAAAAATTTTTACTAGTACCATAGGCTATTAATTAACAGCAAACTGAATGACTAGTTTTACTTACTCTCTTGTTTTTTTCTTGTCTTATAATTTTATAATTTATAACTTTTTATTGCCGATTTGCAATTCACTTATTACTTATTTAATTCTATTAAATAAATCTTATTTATTTAATTTTTTGCAGCTTTATTTCAATTCGATACAAAAAAATAGGGTATTTATTTTGTCAGTGAAAAAATTTCTAATCGATCGATGCATTGGCGTTGTTTTTTTTATTCGAAAAATATGCTTTTTTTGAAATTTTTATTTAAAAAGTTTTATTATTTTTTATTAATTTTTCAGCCACATCATTCTCAACAAAAAAATTATTTATATACGTAATTTTATCAGTTGCTTTTGATAAAAGAAATCAGACGTTATCAACGAAGAGAAAGTAAAAAATTCAACTAAAAAAAAACGCAATTTTCATTGGGATTTGTTTAAAGGAAAATTTATTTAACAATTAAGCGAATTAATATAATTGCAGTAAAAATTTATTCGTTGATTATTTTAAATTTGTCATTTAATGATAATTTATTAATATTATTATTAAGAATCATATTGAAGAAAAAATTTCAATTAGTTGATTTATATTGTTGTTGTTGTTATAAATTTTACAACAATCCGAAACGCATTAAAAAAGTGCGGCACAATCCGCAACGATATTCGTTATCAAAAAAATCACCGTTATCAATATTATCATCAGCAACAAATCAAGAGCGTGCAATTAATAAATGCGATAGTATACTTGGGCGTGCGAAAGCGCGCCATAATGCTTTCGCATGCAAAAAAATGCGACAATGTCGTCACGTCGTTGTCGTCCTCCTATTTGCACTACGAAAATCGTCGTCGTCGTTTTCACCATTTTCATTTTCATCATTATTATTATCACCATCATCGTCATCGTCGTCGTCGTCGTCGCCCTTATTCGTTGCTCAACTATCAACAACAGTTAATAAATGGTGGTGGTGGTGGTGTTGGTGTTGGTGGTGCATTTTATCAATCACAACAAGAGGATCAATTTATTTCTCAAAAAAATTCGCGTTCTTATTTGCTCAACAATCATTACAAATTGAAATATTCGCTCAAAGGTTGCTGTACAATAAATTTTCCGCTCAAAAATCGTTTCAAATTAAGGAATCTTATCGAAAAACAGTATCGCGAAAAGAAGAAATTGCAGCAGCGACAACAACAACAGCAACAACAGCAATTACGACAACGACGACAAGAGCGACAGCGACAAAAATTTCATTTGGAAAATTTGCGACAAGAACAAAAATTGCAACAATTTTATACATCGCCGTCAACATCGCGTCCATCATTCAATTTTTTTCAATCGCCAAATATTACTACATACAATATTATAGGTGGTTTAAGTGCGAGAAAATTGCATTACGACAAGCAAAATTATCACCATCATTGTCTTCATCATTATCATTATCATCATTATCATTACCATTGTCATCATCATCATCACCATCATTGTCATTATCATCATCATTATCTTCATCAGTGTAGTGACCTCAGGACTAGAACTACAACAAACCTCACTGCCACTCAAGCTTTAACCTATTTTAAACGTAATTATTCATCCATATTAATATATTATTGGCATGCAGTATCAATACTTGCTTGCCTTTTTGCAACGGGTTTTTGTCTCAATCCTCCTTCTTCATCTTCTATTATACCAATTTCCTCTTCTCCATCCTCACTAAATGAGATTATTTATTCAAATACTTCATCAAATATGTACTCATGTCCAGCTCGACAAAATCCTTTACTAAGGATTTCAAGAAAAGCAGCTTTAAAAAAATCTGCAATGTCATATCTATTAACATCGATAACGATTCATGAGCTTTGTTCAATGCGACCATTAAAACGATATGAATATTTTAATAAAATTTATTTATTCCCATATGAAATTAATAATAATGTACGGTTATCACAGTTGTTTTTATTTAATGAGAAGGAAATTTTGGATGAAAATGATATTATCACCAAGCATCTCGCTTACCACGCAAGATCTTGCGTTATATCAACTAATTTAACGATATGCAAGAATTGTTTCGCTCAGGTAATGATTTTTTTTCCTCTAATATTGCATCCTACCTATGGTTTAGTTAGTTCTACCAGCAAGTTAAGGTACCATTCGCACAAAATATATATATAATCTCTTGGTATTGTTATTAGAACTACTGATAGCTTAAATAGCGCAATCCGGATTTTATATTTGATGTGTTACTTTTTTTAAGTGATAAGAGCGCTACTTAAATAATAATCCAAAAGTTTCGCAAGGTAGCAATATTTTCAGAAGTAGAAGAATTTCAATTTTTCTTTTTACCATTTTATCCCCTTTTTCTTTTTAACTGCTCAAAAAAATTTGAAAAAATTATTTAAAGAAAATTCAAATTTGAAGAGAAAAATTGAAAAAAACTGCAAAACTCAGATTTTCATGTTCAATTAGTTTCTTATTTTTATAAAAATTAGTGATTTTTTTGAACTTTTTAATTTCATTAGTGAATTCATTAGTGAATTAACGAATCAATCTTTTAAACTGAGGCAAAAAAATTGTTTAATTTTGAGTTCAACTTGAGAAACTTGAGAAACCCACCACCAACATTCTGGTAGTATGATTGCATACTTAGTGGAAATGGTGACAAAGGGAAAATAAATTCTTTTATTAGCACTCACCAATTTTTGATCTATCTAATTCTATTTGCACCTCTTCAAGAAGGGTTTAGATGGTACTTTCGCCTGAAAAAAAGAATGTGTAGAATGCAATAGTTTTCAGTACTTATGCAGAATCCACTTTAAATGATACACATTTAGCCTATAGGTGCACATTGGTTCCAGCATTGTTTATATTTATATTTATTTTTATAAGTTTGCAGATTGATGAAGGATTGCGGAAAATTGAAAGAGCTTATATCAACTTTAATAAAACGCTGCACAGATTTGATTGTATGTTGGCTATCGATTCACCGTCAGCTACTCGTCCTTTTTCTCCGAATGGTACTTGTGACGACTGCAAGGTTCTATTTCTAAAGTTTTTCCTAAGATAGCTATCTAAATTTGTTATTAAAAACATTTTTTCTAAGAATATGGCTCATAGAATTTTCAATTTTGCATTCAAATATAAATTCTATAAAAAAATATGTTCATAAAATTCCACAAAATGAAATTTATTAGTATTCTGACAAAATGCCTTAAATTTTTTTTTAAAATTATTTTTCATAGCATTTAGCTGTAATTTATTTTATTACTGAAAATTTGCCGCATTACGAAATCTTTCAATTTACCTTTCCCTTTCCTATTGGGAAATGACATAATGGAAACGGAATTTTTTGCAAACAAATTTGCAAATTTACAAAATTTTTATACGATATATGTTTTGCATATATTCATGTTTCCAAATTATTTATATGAAATTTTTTATCTTTTTATTTTTGCAAGAATAATTTCTCATAATTTTTCAAAACAGTAAGTTTTAGTTTTTCAAATTTTTTCTCATTGATTCTTTAGATATTTTTAAAAACAAAAAGGGTAAATAATTTTTAATTCATATAATTTTTAATAGGCTTTAATAGGCTTTCATGAAGATAAAAATGGAAAAGATAAGATTCATTGTAATACAGTCATTTCAACCACAGGCATTTTTATTTAAATCAGTAAGGAATATTTTTAAATAGTAAGAAATAATCAACATTTTTAACTACGTTTCGAGGAGGAGATTTTTTCTTAACATAGTCTAAAATTTGTGATCCTCTTTTCGTGAAATATTTTTAAATGCATATAATAATATATTTAGAAATAAAAAATAAAAAGAAATATAAAAACAACAAAAAATAAATAATATAGAAGAAAATCTCGATCAGTGAAATTCCTATCAAAGGTCTTCATTTTTAGGCCTTAATTTAAAGATTTTGAAATTCTAAAAGATTTTGAAATTAAGGCAGGCTTAGTGGTTTTTCTTTTTTCTTCAAATAGGAATCCGAGATTAGTAATAAATTTCGAAGCAAAATTCTCAATCTATATCCATATTTTATTATTTTAGCATATTAAATTGTAGCATTTTTTGAAAAAAAATTATTTATTTTTATTATTTTTTATTTTTATGATCGATTAAGAAAGAGAAAAAATGTATGCAATGTGTTCCTCAAATAAATTTATTAAATTTGCAAGCGAGTATTTTTAAAAAAAATTTGGCGAAAATCAGCCGAATTAAATAAAATGAAATGAAAATTTAGCAGGCAACAAGCAATCTTCAGATAATTTTAATCCAGCTGATTTGAGCGAATTTAAATTTAAAAGTATTCATCGTATTCACATCATTTAAACCAATAAAATAAAGAGAGTTAGGATTGACGATAAATAACATCGACTGTTCATGGAAAATAAAAAGGAAACCAATGATTGATTCTCAATAAAGGAAAAAAAAGGAAGGTAAAAAATTTGTCAAATAATTCCTAAAAGATGTGAAAAAAAAATTGGGCGAAAAACGTGTGATGAAACGTGTACGTGTGATAAACATGTATGCGGATGGAGGTTTACTTAATTGTTATTAGAGTTATTTATGATGATATTTATCAATGCAGTAATTTAACGTGATTTTTTTCTCTTTAAAATCTTGTCTGATTCGTTTGATCTTATGGAATTCGTTTAAAAATTTCTGAAGAAAGAGGTCCAAAATTTTGTTTTTTATTAGTTATTTGAAATTTGTTTTATGACACTTCGTATCAATGGCAAAAACAATTTAATGACTTAAAAATAATTGAAAATTTTTCAAAAAAAACTTATTATCAAAAAAAAATTTTTGAAAATTTAAATTGAATAGTTTCCACAAGTTTATTTTTCATTCAATTTTTTATAAAATTTTTTTTACAAATTATTAATTTTTTTTTGAAATTTAATAATATTACAGGACAAAAAAAATATTTGCTGTTTCTAAAAAAAAAATTCTTCTATGCATTTGACGTAATTAGTATTTCCCGTGGGAAAATAAAGAAATTTTATTTGATCCATTCACAGTGATAAAAAAAATTTACTAGTCAGAAATTCAATTTCTACATTACGTTATAGTTTTTTTTCCCTTCTTTTGTGAGTAATTTTCAACTGGGGAAATATTAAAATTTTGTCAAAAAAGTACTAATTTTCTCCGACTTATACCGCTCATTAATTTGGATAATTATTGATATCACTATCATTATCATTAGATATAATGGAATTTTTACTCGAGGTTTCCCTCATTTTTTCGAGTTTGATTCTTAATTAGGATTCTCTGGAGAAAATTTGTAGAAAATGCTTGATTTTAAGGAAATGCTAAAGAAATTGCTATACAATATTTTATCAATTGGCTATCCATTAGCCAAGATTTAATTATTGCCAAACATTACATATGTTCAAAGTATGTCCAATTGATAATTGATGATTTTGTTTATTGCATGAAGTAATAAACAAAAGAACAGGAGAGTAAATTCTGATATCATGATGAAACATATCGACATGTCTTTGCTTTGACAAAGTTCTATGGATTTTACAATTATAGGTTTGGTACCATAGATGGCTTTTAGTACAGTTTGTTGATGTATGGTTGGAAGCGCCATGTATAAATTGGTGTTATTATGCTCAACTTGCATGTCCACATTTGGCTACGAGTAAAGTGGCAGATTATGCGGGACACCCGAGTTTTCAATGTAGAGGTCACTTGTTTTCTCTCATTTTCTATGAAACTGATTCTTTTTTATCCATTCTTTTTTTATATATCTAAAATTCTTACACTGAACCGAATAATAAGTGATATGGACTGTAACAGTACAATAATAGAATATGAATAATCCACAATATGAATGCGTAACAATAAATTTAAGCTCGCTTATCGGATCGAGCAAATTTTACTAAACACCACTTGGCTATAGAAATGTAAATAGGTAGCCAGTACCATCCAAATCTTTGAAAGATAAATTCATTCTTGTAGGTAGTGGAACCCACAGCATTCCAACTCCGGCCAACAGGTTCACTTAGGCCAATTACCCCCAATTACTTATTTCACTTCCTCATTAAATTAATTTTTATTATCTGTGAAAAAAGGTTTATTTTAATTTTAGATTTACAAATACCGCGAATGACTTCAACGAAAAAAATTCGCAAAAAAATTTCGTCGATTTTGCCAGCCGAATGTCATTGTCTACATCCATGTGATTTATTTCCTACGACATTTTCTAATTTATTTGCATCATCGAATATCTCGGAATCGACACAATTTTTAGCGAAATTACTGCAAAATCATCGAGTTCGACGCCATTCATCACGAAACATCGTTGATGGTGTTAGTTAATTTTAAATTTTTTTTTAAATCAATAATTATATGTTTGCAAATTATTTATAATTGATACAAATTTGCTCATTTATCTGAACAAAATTTGAGAGATTGAAAAAATCTAAAATATTTTTTTAATTGCCATTGTTTCAACATCGAAATATACCGTTTTTTGCTTGTTTTTTCTCTCATCAATTTCCAGTTTCATTAAAAAATTCAAAATTTCATCTTCAAGTTTAGTAGTAGCAATAACATTTATGGTATATAAGTACCACTTCAGCCAAGTAATATTTCTATTATTTTCAATAAGTTGGCAACATGCACTATTTTTCGTTTGACTGGATCCATTAAGTACTGGAAAAAAAATTCATGCCCAAAAAAATCCTTTTGAGTCAAAATTATCAGTGGATCCTCAGCAATAATTGAACTGTTACTAAGATAGCTTTAATCATGCCTTGAAAATGATCCATATTGCTTTAAAGGATTTCGAAAAACTTGAAATTTTCTAAGCAAAAAAAGAGAAATGTTAATTATTTATTAATCAAAAACAACAAATAAATAATTTATAATTCATTCTCTTCTCTTAAATTTTTTCTACAAAGATCAGACTCACTAGTTTGCAGTAAGATTTATCAGATTCTCGAAAGCGAAATTTCACTTTAGAGTAATTCGGCAATAAAGTAAAAGTGAATCGGCAGTATCAGCCGGATTTTTGGAACACATACATATATGTTTATTCAGGTTTAAAGCTATAGAAAGCTCTGAAATGAATTGGGAACATGCCACTCCTGTTACAAAAAAAAAATTCTTTTCTCACCTCCTGTGGGTGATTTATCCTCAGCCTCAAGTCTTCTACCAGTGATCCGAGAGATTGAGGATTGAGTTCTGCGCAATATCTTAGCGCAGCTATGCCTAGCAAGCGCACTTCTGGACAAAATTCCTAGAATCTGTTGAAACGACCAGTTTTCTAGTTTAGAGGTCGCAGTTCCAAGTGCTCCAATCGATGGATGAGACAAGATAAATATATATAAATATATCTTCATTTCATTATAAATTTTAAAGAACTTTTAGGCGAACGATTTCTTCCCTTCAAGCGAATATTGTTATGAACGTCGACAAATTTGTAACAATAAGAATAATCAACATCGTAAAATAAAACATAAAAAACTGCCCTCGTTTAAAATTACTTCGATTAAAGTTATTGCTCAGGAGAAGAAACAAAATTCGCCAAGAAAAAAAAGAATTAATCGAAATCGTTACGAAAATGATGCTTTTTTAAAATTTTTCAATGATAATAATCAGTTAAATGATAAGAAAAAAACTGGCAATGATGATGATAACAGTCGTCATAATATATTAATGGAAAATTATGGTGATGAAAATAAGAAATTTCGAGACAAAAATAAACCTTATAGAATAACATCAATCATCGACAGTATTATAAGTTTGAAAAAAATGAATCGGCAGTCAGCGTTAAAAAATTTGAGTCATCGAAATCCTGCTGGAAAATATATAACAAGTGCTACATTAAGGATTTTCTCAAGTACTGGTTCTTCCGCTTTTATATTATTTTTATATTTGCTCAGAAGATTCTTAGTTCCATAAACAATTTCCCATTACCAGGTAATCGATAAGTAGTCTTCTGGCCTTTTATTAAAGATTTTTTCGTTTTTGAGGTTGCTATCTGGTGAGCGAATTGGGATAAAAAGTAATTAAAAAATAATTAGCAATTTATCGAACTTCATATTTCGTAAGGGTTAAGAGTGGACCGTGTGAGGAGGAAAAATGGAGGAAGTGGAGGGGAAAATTTGATTTTCTGAGCTTTAAGGAAAATGATTTGTTAAAATTATTGTTTTCCAATGAATCGATTGAACAAAAAATTTATTTTCTTTTTTCGTTCGATTCAGTCAAAATTATTTTATCTGGCATTTTGCTTTAATGCCAATGCCTTGTTTTTTATTTTAAAAATTTTTAAAATTATTTTTTCTTAAAATTTCAAAAATAAATTTTTAATTGATCATTGATGCCTAAAATTTAGTGTATATGCATAGTTATTAATGCTTAAGCATTTGTCTTCCAAGAAAATTTTTTTTCGAAATTAGATTTTTTATTTTTTTAAATATTTTAATATTATTTAAAATAATTAAAATTATTAATTAATTAATTAATTGGTTAAATTAATTAATTGAATAAATCGATTTTAGTTAATTAGATTAGTTAAGTTAATTGGTTGGTGGTTTGTTGGTCAGTTGGTCGTTCGGTCGATTGGTTGGACTTTTTTTTAGTTCAAATATTTAGTTATGGATAAACAATTTTAATATATTTTTCTCTCTAACAATATTACTCAGGGGATTTTCATAGGAAAATTTTTTTTGGAGTTTTTCTTTTTTACGATTTTCCAAATCGATAAATATATATAATATATAAAATTTTTAGCATAAAATTTATGAAAATATATTCATGTATTTGGCTTATTTATGTATTCAGCAATTTTTAGAATTTAAAGCAGATTATTTATAGCGAATTTGTAGCGAATTATATAAATAATCGAAAGGTAAAGAAGGGAGAAAAGGAGGGGGTAGAAGAATATTTTTCAATTTACTTTTAGCTATAATAATTTATTTGATACAATCCCCATTCCTTTATTAAATAAATATTAGGAAAACAAAAATCTTCTATATATTTATAATTGAATTTGGAAATGAGCTTTCACCAAAAAATTCAGATTCAATAATAATTTGACAATAATCTAAGAAGTTTTAAAGTTTTAACTAACAAAACGTCTGACATAAATAAATAGAGGTCCAATATCCATTAATTATTAATATTATTATTAAAATTAATATTGTTATTAAATTCTAATAACGTATTGCCAAATTTATTTTTAATTATTATATATTGCCGAATGAAAAATTATTTACAAATCTTCTTTTGATAGGTTTTTTTTCAAATTTTTTAAAATAAATTTTGCTTTGATTTTGTGAAATTATAATGAAATTTATTATGTTTATGATGGTGATCTGTATAAAAGATAAATTAGTTATTGTTTTTTTAACATTTTATCATTTAATTTTATCAATACTTACATCGACATTTGATGATAAAGTAAATGACGGTTGATTATCATGAATTATAAATTTGAGTCCTAAAAGTCCATAGCGTTTCATATTCACCTTACTTGTTTCATTTTACCTATTGATGTGATTGCAATCAGTATTCGGCGGCAAGGAAAAACTGGCATAATACCGACTTTGGGAGATAATGAATGGGCTAAATATGAATATAAATCGGTTATTCTCAATTCGTAGAATATTTTGTTTCATTTTTGAAATTTTTGATAGTCAGTATGAGAAGCTATTTTTTTCTTCTCTATGAATTTCATTTTAATATAAAATATTTTTTAAGAAAAAAGAAAGAAAATGAAAATAAATTTTTCTAGGTCTCAGCTATGTATGTTTGTATTTGTTCATGAAAAATTATCAATAAAATAAATCAGAAATTGAAAAAGGGACATAAAAAGATTTATTTTTCCTTTTCGTTCTTCATTTTTTGAATTTGTTATTTGTCTTTTATTAATCTTTTAGATAAGAATAGATAAGAATAAATGCAGAATAAAAATAAAATGAAAATGAAAAAATAAAAAAATAAAAATTTGTAAAAAGTAAAAAAGGTAAAGTAAAGTAAAAAAAGTATAACTTTCAGTTGAAATTAATTTTTTTCAATTAAAAAATAAATTTTCTAATAAATTATTTCCGAATTTGAAATAAAAAAAAAATTGGAAAATTATTAATAAATAATAAATAATTTTTTCTTTGACTAAATACTAAATGAAATGATAAAAATTTTTACTATTTAAAACAAAACACAATTAACTATTATAATTATTAAAATTATTGAAATTAATTATTTAAAAAAATTAAATTATACTAGTTAGGTTCTAAAAAATTAAAAATTTTTATTTATAAAATCTTATATAACTCTAAGATATATAATCTTATAGTGCCGCTGCTGCTGAGGTTCGATTCCCCGCAGGAGAATCTGTACAAAAATCCTGGTGATGCTAGCAACTCACCTGTATTTCTATCGCCAAAGGACTCCCTGGCATGTTGTCCAATGCAAGCCAGTGGAGCGAGTTTAACCAGTAATGGTGATGATTCTTTAAAAAAAAAATTTAACTGAGACAAGTGTGGTACTAAATTGTGTATATGGCACTGAATAGAATATCAAGGTGTAAAAAATAAATTCAATGGATTGAATTGAGCTATTTTACTGCAAAGTTCTCTACATAATTTTACGAAGTTTTAAGTTTAAAAATATAAAATAATTTAGTTTCATAATTTGTTCACTATTAGGTTTTATTTTGATTGGATAATCTGAAAACAAACAAACAAACGAGGTAATCAATGGAATGATTTCTGTGGGAAAGAAGAGATAAAATTTTATGGTGCATTAAACTTGGTACTTTCTCCTCTTAATGGCACTAAATTTTTAAAAATTTCAAGGTGGTCACCAATAATGGTGATGGAATCCAGAGAAAATTGAATTTTTGTTATGCAAATATGAAACAGGTTTATTCAATTGATAGATTTAGTCAGCGACGTTATCAGGTGTAATGTAATTGATAAATCTGTTATTAAATGAATCATATGAAATACCACATTCAGTTCGAAAATAATACACCAATAAACTGCCGTACACCACTGATTGACACCAAAGGATACTTATTAAAAATTTGTATAATTTATTACAATCATTTTAAATTTTAATGGTTGATAAGGAGTTTAAATCTTTAAAGGATTTTGAAGATAAAAATATCGCTAAAAAATTATTTATAATAATTATTTTGAAGATAAAAAATTTTTATCTTCAAAATTTGCATGATTAGCATATTTTTTTTTCTAACAGCGCTAACATGGTTAGGATAGCTGCGCTGGAATATAAAACGTCTCCAAATTATTGTCCAAGTCCAAGATCAGACGTCATCGTGGACAATAATAGAAGCCATTTTTTTCCCATCTTCTAAGTCCATATATCATTCATTATATTCAAAATTCAAAATTTAAAATCTTTCCTGATTGTCCAAGTCTTCCTTGTTTTTGATCTTGTTTATCCTTGTTTTTGCCATCGATCAAATAGCAAAATATGTGCCAACACCTGTGGTTGGCGATGAAGAACGTGTCCTAACTAGTGAAAATGACGCGCTATGATGGTAGTACTAATGCAGATGGTATTTGAATGATAGTGCGATTTTATCAGTTTGGTATAAAGTATACCTTAGATCTTAAATCATGAAAGGCATATAATGGTTATCTCTCAAACCTCAATAGTAAGATCGAGCGAATTGCAGCTATATGGTGGCGGACTTTCGTCTTTACGGTGATTTCGCGACAGCTTCGGTAAAAATTTCGGTCATTAGCTACTGTTTTCCGATTACGATATAGTCATCTGCCTGTATATTTGTGTTTAGAATAGATCAAAAAAAGCTATTTTATCAGTTTCTTGTACTAACCACAAGTCCGCTGCTGTTGTTAACGCAGCATTGTTTAGCATTATTTGTATTTCGTCATACTATCAGCAAAAAGGATTGCAGAATCAGCGTATTCAAGATCGGTGACACTATGCTCTGGACTATATCTATTTCTATTTCTATTTCTATATCTATTGATTACCAATAAGCGACTGAACTCTGTCGCATTGTTGAATATTGTTAGAGAAAGAATAGCCTTGATGGACACCAGTTCTTATTTCGAAGGAATCTGTCAATTCCCCAAATACATATACCTGTGCCATGGTATGCTGATAAAATGCCTTTATGAGTCGAATGATTTTTTCTGAAACACAGTCCCATTCTGCCATCCTCTAAAGCGCCATTCCATCAGCTGAATCAAAGGTAAACAAGGTGGATGAAACATGCAACGGCGGGTTGCAGATATTTGAAGGGGTATTCACTCTTGATACACTCTTCTTGATATGAATAGCCGATTAGTGCAATTGTGCCCTGGTTTTTGAATCCAGCTTGGTTAGGGCATATCCTGGTGCCACACTGCCATAAGATCATTCAACAAGAGAGAAGTAAAAATTTTCCCGGAGATATCTACAGGCTGAATCCTCAATAATTGTCGCAATATATCCTGTTAACTTTCTTAGGAATTAGGAGCTGAATTGCTTTGCTCCAGTCATCTAATATTTTTTTTCTTCCATACCAGAGAGTACATTTGTTGAAGGTGCAATATTAAGGACAATGGACAACATTTGAAGAGTTTAGCCCAGAGACAATCTTCTCCGGGAGCTTAATTAGTTTTCTGAATGATAGAGATTATTTCCTGCTTATAATTTCCGGCTTGACGAATGAATCAGCCATATTCGAGATGAGGGATGTCTTTATGGTTAAGTTTAATCTAAAAGAACTCCTTCCATCTTGAGAGGCTACCCTTAACAGCCTTGAAATAGTTCTCTTTTACTACCCAATTGAGTCGCTATTTCCATTCTTAATCCATATCGCTCCAATAGCAATTTCTATTCTGCCGTGCTGTTGTCGTTATAATTCAGGTTTAATAATTGGTTAAGATTCGAACTGAGGAAGATGGACCTCCGATAAACAGCCGATATCCACAAGATATTTGAAAAGAATGTGGATGGATCATTTGGCAATAGCTTGGGCTTGTAATGTTCATATGCGAAGGTGCTACTACTTCGAACATGCAGAGAACCGTTTTCCTTGATAGGTTTCGACCAATCCTGGCACATCTTATTCAAAAACTTTTGGATTTTTTAATGCAAAGGTTCTATACTTATTGCATAAACCACCGGTCTGGGATTAGTGTATCGGAGGACAGCGGGATCCGTTTCACAATTTCTAAAATCAATGTTTATTTATGGCTATAAAGAAATTTACATAAATATCGGTGCTTTTGGTAACAATAGAGTGAAGCTTTGGAGAACAATTCAGCATGAAAAAATCACTATTACAAAAATAAATAAACGATTTTTTAAGCAAACAATGATCAAATAAAGTGGTTAACAAGTCTTCTGGCGCAAAAATAAGTACCATTAATTCAACCGAGATTATAGGTTTTAGAAAAAAATTTTTTTGTTGCATTTTCTTAGCCATGTTTAGTAAAACAAGCATTTAAAAATTTATAAAAATTTATTAAAGAAAAAGAGGATCAGACTCCAAATCGCTGAAAACATAGACTTAAGGCTGAAGGGCCAAACATGGACTAAACATACTAGCGTTATCACTATTGGACCAAAAATAATGTTTTGGTTTTTAGTCTTAGTTTTTGGTCTATTTTTTTGGTTTTTTGATTAAATCTTCCATCAGTGATCTAAAAGTTTTATTTTTCAAATAAATAGATTTGGATCCAAATAGATTTGAATAAAATCAGTTCTTTCTGCTTCACTATAAATTTTCAAAACTAAAAAAATACGTAGCGAATCTGAAATTTTTACTGCTAGAATCCGATTAATTAATTTTACTATCCGAATGGCGAATTAGATAAAAAAAAATCCAAAAAAGAAGGGGTTAGCCAAAAATGGCTGAAAGATGACTGACTCAGAATGACTCAACAAGCTGTTATCCTCATTTATATCCTCTGGCACTAGGCTTCTAACTTGTTTTGGGAAACGCTTGTTTCAAAAATCCATTTTATATTGGACATTCACTTGTACTGTTATCATTAAGTGAAACAACAAGGTTAACAATGTTAGAGTTCAACCAAAAATGGTGAACGCCCTGAGGAATTAAAAATTTGCTATATATTCTTGTATTGCATATGTATTCTTTTTCATTGTTATCATTATCATAATGATTAAAAGCGGCCTTTCATTGGCTTATTTATTTAATTCAGCATGATATGCTTCTATACTGCCTGAGACTTATCGATTTTGAGGAGAGCATCCTCGCTTTCAATACAAAATTTTTCAATTAAATTTCGGCAAATTTCCAATTTTTATTTATTAGATCTATAATGAATGAAGTCATTTGCAGGAATTTCATGGAAAGATTTTTTTACTTTATCTCCCTATTATTTTTAAAATTATTATATTATAATAAAATTATGAGTAAATTTGAAGATTTGAAATTCGTGATATAATTTTTAATTTCAGTCATCTATAAATGAACAAATAAGCAAAATAAGTCACCATTTCTCATTAGGGTGCTGGTGGCATTAAGGTTAGAAATTTCTGTCATTACCGCTGGCTCACCAGAACCATAGATTTTCAATGAAAAACCAATTCGTGCCTAGGGCAACAAATTTTTTTGCTATGTATTTACTACAAATGCGATCAAATCCATTTTTTTATTGTCTTTCATTTTTTCGAAAAATTTTCTTATAACATATTGCTCAAATCGTTCGATTTTTTATTATTTAATGCAGATCAATGTGATCAGAAATTTAATCTCTTTCTTGCAAAAATTCCTCATTACAAATTGGCTTATTCGATTCCCACTATCTTATAAAAATACTAAAATATTTAGCTAATTGAGTCATATTTCTGCTATAAGCTGCCAGGTAAATTACTCTCAATATTTCAGCTTTTTTTTATTGCCTTCATATTTTCTTCATTTTAAGAAAAACAATTTAAAGCCTGAAAAGTCGAAAATCTAACTCGAATAATGCATAATAAGTATACCAAGTTTGGTTTTTTCAATCACTAAATTACTGATTATAATTGCCGAATTATCATTAAATTGAAAATTAAATTATTAAATTGTTATCAATCAAATTTTTTTTGAAAATCTATTTTTTGAAAAATTCTCAATAACTAATGATTAAATCTATAACTTTTCAAAATTAAAAAAAATTAATTTTATTTAATTTCAGGCGAAAATTTATGTGAAAAATTCTTAATAATAATGGCAATAATAATGTAACAATGATCAATGATTTTTTTTGACACATTTTACTTATAAAATTATTATTAAATTGAAAAAATTCATTACAAAAATGATGGATAAAAAGAATATTCGTGCGATATTACTTTTAATAAGCACTATAACGTATTTATTATTTGGCGCAGCAATATTTGAACAATTAGAATTTCGTAGTGATCTTGAACGACGAGAAGAAATTCGATTAATGTCCCAAAAACTTTATAGCAAATATAATTTTACGAAAAAGTTAGTTGTTTTTTATTTATTTTTATTTATTTAATAAAAACTATTCAAAATTAAATTGGTCCTATGGCAAAATTTGTCAATTCTGCGGATGTTCCTAGCCAGAAATGAGTACCGCAATTCTGTTAGGCAGACTTATATTCCCGCAATTATTAATTCTTGTTCTGCTTTCCCATTGACTCTTTATATTTCTAAAGGATAGTATATTTGATTAGATCGTCAATTCAAGCACTATAATTCATTCCATTTATAAGTAAAAAATGTCATTAAAAATTAAATTCAAGTGGTGCTATTGGCCTTAAATGAACCTCTGGTTGAATGTATTTTTTCTCCCAATGAACAAACAAGTGATAAGCATATATAAAGAATTATAAATGAATAAGAAAAGATTTTTTGAACGAAAATTATAAAATATAAGTAAAAAAAAATTCCTTATGCATGATCATCAAATTTTATTCCATCCACAATTTTTTGGCTGAATAGAGATTTCATTTCATTGAATAATTAAATAAGTTAAATAAATAAGTCTCTTATGAAAATTCATAAAAATTTATCGCAAAAAAACAAGAATCGCTGATAATAAACCTATTTAGCCTTCGCTGATTAATACTTTAGGGCTTCATCGTCAATCACAGGAGTTAACACGTATTTTGTTACTTGCTAAACCCAGTGCCAATGATGGATGTTAAAAAGCGAGGAAGGCAAATCAAGAGCTTTACTGATACAGTCAGAAAAGATTTTGAATATATAGGTGGACCAGCGATATATACACTTAGAAGGTGGAAAAAAGGAAGCATTTTGCCCTTGTAACCAGCGCAACCAACTTAGCCAGTATTGATGAGAATTGTTGAAAAGAGGAAGAAATCTGTTTTAAGTTTATTTTTCTTAAAATCCATAGATAGTTCTTAAAATAATATAAATTTTTATTTGTAGAGATTATGAACTACTGCAAACAATTGTAAAAAAATCCATTCCTTATAAAGCTGGTTTACAGTGGCAATTTAATGGTGCTTTCTATTTTGCACTTGTTGTGATTACAACCGTCGGTTTGTTTTTTTCTTTTTTCTAATAGCTTAAGTAAACCTTAGACGCCTTCCATGAAAAAAGCTGCTCACGTAGAAATTCATGACGATACTACAATATCGAAGTATCATAAGAAAAATATATAAGTAGTGGTACTCTTAAAACTTTTCTATATACAGCAATTTCTAGCCAAAAATAAATTTCTTGGTTCTATTAAATTTCTTTGGCAATAATTTGAATGTGATTTTAAAAGCAAAAAGACTGAATTAATTTCAGGTTATGGCCATTCAACACCTGAAACTTGTCTTGGAAGACTATTTTGTATGGTATTTGCATTGGCGGGTATTCCATTAGGTTTGATTATGTTTCAAAGTATCGGTGAACGAGTAAATACGACGATTGCTTTTGGTTTTAAAAAAGTTTCGCTTCATTTACTTTTGTATTCATTTACTTAAAAAAGATATGAAACACAAAAATGATAATTTTAGGAATCTTTTTTCTTTTTGGTGCCTATTTCAGCGAAGCTGAAATCAAAGAAGGTGCTAGGTGCTTCCCTATATTCCTTTCCTCCGCAAATGACATAAGTTATTCAGCGTCAAGCATTGAGAAACAATTGAGGAGAGTGTAACAATTCACCAAAATACATCGCTTTTGGTTTATGATTTATTTGAATTTGTCATTTTTTTTCAAAATTCCATTAAAAAATAAAAAAATTCATAGAAAAAGTTGGACCCAACTTGGTTCTTATTGGTACTAATAGGTAAATGAATTTATATCATATGCCAACAATTATTGCTTGCGAATAATGTACATATTAAAGTTTTTTTTTAATTTTGATTTGACCTATTAATTAAATTTCTTCAGCTTCGCTCATTTTTACGTTCAAAAAAGATATTTATCTTGAACGAAATCAGTCCAACTCATTTATTAGTTGTTTCGTTGTCGATTGGAACACTCGTAATTATTATTGGTACATATGTGTTTCACTGGAATGAGGGTTGGACAATATTTGAAGCCTATTATTACTGTTTTATAACATGTAATACTTATTTTCTTTTCGCAAATAAAAGCAATGCATGAATTCATTTGAGAAATGGATTTGAATGGATTTCTGTTTATCGAAGATAAAATCACCATTAAGATTAGGGAGTGAAATTCCATTGGACCCATTTTTATCTGTTTTTAATTTATAGTGCAAGAGTAAGGGAAACGAATAAAATATTATTTCAAAAGAAAGACTTTATTCGATAAATACGAATATAGTGAAATGAAACGGATTTTGGAAGTCTAATAGGCCTAAGTAAATATTGAAGGTAATGGTACTTGGAGAACTATAGAGGGAATAAGACAAATGCCAGTTGGCTCAATATTTTCATGAATATTTTTTGTTTATTGTCTTATTGATAACACATACTTGGTATGTACTTGGTATACGCACATAAATAAAATTACCTGTAGATTAACGAGTGAATGAGGGACGATTCAATTCTTAAAAACTTAATTAAGGGAAGGGAGAAGAGGAGAGGGAAATAACTCTATTTTCAAAAATAAGTTTACAGTATCGACCATTGGTTTCGGTGACTATGTGCCATTACAAAATGATGGTTTATTACAAAAAAATCCAGGATATCTCATATTCACATTACTATTCATCGTATGTGGCCTAGCGTTATTTTCTGCGTCCGTTAATCTACTCGTTTTAGGGTAAAAATTTTATTTTAACCACTGTTAACCATTTCTAGTTAAAATCGCTCCACTGGTTTATCGGACCAGTCGAATTTTATGGTTCGTAAAAGTGATACGAGAAATCTGTAGCGTCACCTGGATTTTTGAAAGATTGGTTTATTCTTGGCGAAAGTAGAATCTTTACATTGTCGTTTTGAAATGAATGAACCTACTGAGCCATTCTATCTATTTATCAATTAATTTTATTAAATTTTACTAAAAATTTGTTACAGAAAAATAGGGCAAAAACTGAAATATATGCAAATTTCCCTAAGATTTCGATAATGGTACCATCCTCCAAGAATTGTTGCATTTGAGGTTTATGGCTGCAAATGCAAATTCAATAGCAACATCGAAAGAACCACCTCGAGCTATACTTTTTGAAAGCCTGGCGGCGTCTATGCAGCCGTCATTTATATCGCCTATGAATTTAGTCGCAAGTCCGATTCAAGAGAGGCATGAATTAAATTTTCAAACGGTTTGTTAGTGATACTCATCAAATTTTTATCGATTAGAAAAAAATTTAATCGAAAAGCCATTTATATTTGTGGCTCTTTTATTTAATTAATAGTCCTAAAAAAATGGGCATTATTTTTGCAAATATTTTATATAAATATTTGCAAAAATAAACGACTAATATCAAAATTTATTTACTTATAAATAACTGGTAGTTCACTTAATTAAATAAAATCCTAAAATATTTCACGAATTTTGGATATTTTTATTTAAAAAATCCTATTTAAGACAATCAATGGCGCATATGATAAACATAGAGATATCGGCTATACAAACAATAATTTTCATTGTTCTGAAAGTTTACCGAAAGTTTCAAATCGACGAAGAAAAAGGTTTCTCTTTTGAGTTTAAGTGGAGCTGAATTCCTCCTAACTTAGATTTTTTCAAGATTTTTTTCACCATATCTTGCACCGCTCTGCACCGTCGCTTATTGTGCGAGATAAATTTTGTCAGGGTTATTCAACGATAGAACCACCAAATAGATATCCCTAATACCATTCTAAAATTAATTTTTGAAAGATTAATATTGGAAGTAGGATTTGTAGAATTTGACTCTTGGCATTCCGAAAGGCGAGAGGAAAAACCCATTGGGCCATTCTATTCCTTAGGGCGAGAGGAAAAACCCATTGGGCCATACAATTTTAGAAATTTAATCAAATAGATTTTTGACCTTTTAAGCATTTTTTTCTTAAAAATTTTTAAGTTCTCCTATTAAAAACCTCTTTTTTTTACAGAATTTGTATTGGTGGTGGTTGTTCGAAACCGAAAAAGAATTTTTCCGTTTTACGAACTCCAATACATTATATTGAACATATCGTATATCATCAAATATAAAATTTCATTTTCAAAAAAAAACATTATCAATCTCATATGAAAATTATCAATCACCAGGATTTCGTTACTCTTCTTCCTAAAGATAGCCATCATTGCAGATTGATTTGCAGATCTCTATAGGCTCCAAGGAAGTTTTAAGCCGCACGGCGCTATACCACTTTTTTTTAAGGGCTTTCATCATTACTGGTTAAACTCGCTCCACTGGCTCATTGGGTAATATGCCAGAGAGTCCCTTGGCGATAGAAATACAGATGAGTCCGCCAGTATCACCCAGACTTTTGCACAGGATTGCTTCTGCAGGGAATCGAACCTCAGCATCTGCGCTCCCAATTGAGCAACAACCCACTGAGCCATTCTATCTCCAGTGCTTTATGCCATACCTGAAAGTAATTAATAGAAACCATTCGTTTTTCCACTGTTTAAGCCATTATTTCACCTTTGTTTCTCTTCTTTTGATTGTACCAATCCAAGTCATTCACGTCGCAACTGGCTTTTGCTGCCGTTCATTACAGGGTTTTCGATTATTAATCCTTTTTTCACAATCTAATATTTCTATAATAAAATTTAATATTTGTTTTTTAAATAAAATTATGTTTATGCAAATTATTTTATTTTTTTCACAGTAATTGGTTGTCATATCATTGTTATCATTGTCATTAACATTTTCATCATGGTCATATCATGGTCGCCGTAAATGTTGTGATAGCAAAATAATTAAAAATTTACAGATGAATTATTACTTAGATATATTAAAATTACAAAATATTTCATGTGGGTTATTAAATCATTACTTTGCAAACTCATTTTTGTTTTTTTTCGTAGATTAGGTCCTTGTGATCCACCTGCTTTTCTATTACCAAGTGACTCTCTAGGAAAATCTTCCCGACAATCCAGAGGAACTTAGCCTAATAACCAGATTTTATTGCTGCAATATAATGCAGAAATAAACAGTGGCCGAGAAATATTGAAGCACCCACAAAAAAATAAACTTTTTAATGGGAAATTTTTGAGTTTAGCGATTGCAAAGTGTATTGTTTCCTTTAGGGCAAAAATAATATGCACTAGTTTAATTTTCTCCCTTTACTATAATATATGAGGCATGTAGGATTGCTGCATTCACTTGTGCCTCTGTCCTTAGGGGATTTATGGGACGTTTAGAAGGGGATGCTAGTCTTAATTTAGTAATCAATAGAGCCAAATAGACGGGAATAATGAATAACTGTTAAGAAGAACGAAAAGAAGTTTGAAATTTGTGAAATTTGTGATTTTCCCGTGTTAATAATAAGACATTTCTGACGAATATAAAATAACAATGAAGAGGCAGGATAACCGAGCGAACAATAGTTCAAATCATTGCAACTTTGAAGGCGAGAGTTTGGTTCATATGCTGGTACCTGACAGGCGTGAACATAAAAAATCACCAGATGATGCTGATGATGCAATTCGTTGGCAGAATATAAACCATACTGATTATTATATTAACGGCCTGTGGAACTAACCTAACTAGAAACAATATGTGCTAATTTTCTTGATTATTAAATATTTTTGACAAGTTCTATAATAGCGATGATAATGATAATAACAATGATAATAATTATAATAAAAATATAAATAATAAATTGGAATTTTTTCGACAAAAATTATTTTGCGATTTTTACATTAAAGTGTAAATAAAATAAAATAAATAATTATATGTTTAATTTAAAATTTCCATCGTTCAACTCAACTGTTAATTCTCTTATCAGCTCATTCATTCGATAATATAATTCATTTATTAGATGAATTTTATCAAAATTTTTATTTCTACATTTATCATTCATTATCACCATCACTATCATTAGTAAATTTTATTTCGCTTTCAAACATTATAGTCGTTTGTCACGAGTATATTTCTTTCATTATAATTAATCCAACAATTTGTTTATGGAAAAACCATCGGCAATAATCTGCCCTATTTATATTTTTGTGAAAACTTATAGAAGCAGAACCAATAATCCTCATTCAGTAGGCCAATAAAAGAAGATATCTCTGGCTTCAAATACTGACCGGTATTAATTTCAGCTGATACAATGGCATGAAATACTAAAACTGATAACTGATGAATGGAGCAAAAGAATCTTGCTACCAATCCCGATATGATAGGTCGTATTGTCCTATCGAGGTCTACTAGAAATCTTCAGGAAACTTCTTACGCTCCTTCTGCTGGTCTTATTGCATACAAGACAACAGGATGCACCTATTTTTTTTGTTAAGTCAGTGGAGTGGACTAGAAATACTGAGAACTCATAAAAATAAATTTATGGTTAAAAAATTTGTGGTTTGGACTTTTGGCAAGAGCTGTCCAGCTTGTTACTAATCCTTATGATGGATGGTTTCAAAAGTGATGAGGACCAGTTAAGAACTGATGCACCAAAGAGAAACTTTGTAGACATAGGCGGCATAGCGATATCTTAAACGGTGAAAAAAATGGTTTGGAAACCCTTGTAGCCTGTCAAATCAGGCGTATCAGTATTGAAATTTTAGAAAAAGAAATGTTTCACTTAAAAACTGGCATAATTTTTCAGAGAATCGCAAAGCACATTTTGAGCTGATTGACCATTATCAAAATTTCAATATAAATATGAAAAAGGAAAAACTCGCCGAGAATATCGCCAGTTTAAAAAAATCATGCATGTTCAATACAGTTAAATTTCTGGCTTATTTAACTCTTCATAAACACTCGGTAATTTTTTAAAATTATTTATTATTTTTATTTATTATTATTACTGTTGTCATTATTGTATTATTATTATCAGTATTATTATTATTATCATTATTATTTTTATTTTTTAATATTTTTATCATTATTTTATTTTTATTAATATTTTTTATTTTAATATTTTTATTTATATTTTTATTATTTTTTTATTTATTTATTTTTAATCAAATAATAATGATTAAAAATAATATTGGAAAATAAGAGGGTTATATTCATTTCTTATTTATGCATTTTCATTATCCTTTTTTCTTTTTTCATTTTTTTGTAAAACATGGGCCTAAGCCTGAAGACTTGGCGCACTTATGTTTTTATTGCCAGGCGACTCTCGAAATATTTATCTAACACGACGAAGCAGTGGATCACTAGTTCTAACCTATATTCATTATAGCATCTATGATATGCAAATTCATAAAAATTATTGCATAATAAAACTTAAGTCTGGAATTTAGAAATTAATACGAAAAATGTTGAAAAACTTTCAAGGTAAATTAAAGGAAATTTCTCTCAAATTTTTTCGTTTTATCATCAATTATTTCTGGATTATTCATTCAAATCGCTTAAGGAAGTCATATTGAGACTGAAAATATAAATGGTTAAATGTAATCACCGCTATTACGTTGTTTAACAAATTTATAAATATTTACAAATATTTTTAAAATCTTCTTATCACCTTATCATTGAATTGCATCCAATGAGCTCAGTTGTATAATCTCTTGATTTTGAGAAGAAGCGGTTAAATTTTTTCTGAGAATTTTTTTCATTCAAGAAAAATTAGAAATTATAAATGTGGGCGATTTCTTGAGGATATTATTCCCAAAAGGCAACTTCCACATATGTCAAGCGGTGTTCATTAGCTTAACTCAGAAAAATTTCAGCTTGCTTTAGTGAAGGCTTTAATAAATGCAGCTTGAAGCTCGAATTTTATCGAGGTAGATTCACCCTATGGAAAATTCAAATATATGTGGAGGCGAGAAAATATTATTGCCGTGGTGTCGGTGTTGGTTTTGGTGTTGGTTGTCGAAAAACGGTGATTAAGACAATTGCGAAAGCCCAATCGAATTGATTTTTAGTTTGTTAACGATAATTTAGTTTATTCTAATCCTAATTTCTTCTGGATAAATTGAATACTTGAAAATTGTAATCATCGACGTTTAGGAAAATTTAAAATTAAGAAAATTGACAATAATCATTATTCGATTCGTCATAAATAACGTATTCTCCGAGGAAAAAGGTGGAAATTTATTAGGAAAAATATGAATTTATTTATTATACAAACTCTTATCACCATTGATAAAAATTGTCTTATCAGTCGTTTTCTCGTTAATTATTAATAAAAATTTATTTATTAAAATGTGTTTATTAATAAAATAAATTAATAT